TATCTAGGCCTGGTGTGATGGCTCATGCCTGTAATCCCAGCACTTTGGGAGGCCGAGATGGGTGGATTCCCTGAGCTCAGGAGTTTAGGACCAGTCTGGGCAACACGGTGAAACCTCGTCTATGCTAAAATACAAAAAAGTAGCCAGGCATGTGCCTGTAGTCCCGGCTATGTGGGAGGCCGAGGCAGGAGAATGGCTTGAACCCAGGAGGTGGAGGTAGCAGTGAGCCCAGATCGCACCACTGCACTCCAGCCTGGACAACAGAGCGAGACTCCATCTCAAAAAAACCAAAAGTCATATCTAATCCAAGATCAATGTCTGATCCTCTCTGTATAGCCTGGGAGCCACCACTGAGCTGTGTGTCCAGGGAAATATAGTGCATCAGGAACCTCCTAGGGATTTTGTTAAACCACTGGTTCTGATTCAGAAGAGCTGTGGGGGGGCGGTATGTGCATTAGGGGAGGTTGGTGCTGCTGGTTCATGAACTGTAATTTCAGGAGCAAAGAGCCTAATCTATTGGGAGTCAGTTCCCCTGGATTTGCATGCAAACTGGCTGAGATTAACTTAAGAAGCTGGGTGGCCCACATTCTGTGTAGGTTTAAGTGAATGTCAGCCAGCTTCCAAGTAAATTAAGTCAACACCAGTCCATTCTAATTTCTTTGGTGGCTCAATGAACATGACAGATGTGATTATTTCACTATACATCAGGAATTCGTACTTAGATGAGGCTCGGGAGATAGAAAAATGCATGTGAATGTGTATGTAAACATAACTGCATGTTTTAGGAGTAAGGGCCCAGTGATTTTAGTGTTTTGTCTGAGACGGAGTTTCACTCTTGTTGCCCAGGCTGGAGTGCAATGGCGCCATCTCAGCGCACTGCAACCTCCACCTCACGCCTTCAAGCGATTCTCCTGCCTGAGCCTCCTGGGGAGCTGGGATTACAGATGTGAGCCACCACCCCTGGACCATTTTGCTGTATTCTTAGGCATAGTTTTGACTTAAAAATTATTTAAAGCCTATACCATATACATAATTCAGAAATGCCTAGAGTTGGTTCTTCAAGCCTTGATTCTTCTGCCTAAAATAATTTCTTTTTACATCCCCTTCATGTAAGCCAGGAGGCAGAAGTGAGATGTTATTATTATGCTATCAGTATAAGTGCTTTTTTGATTATAATAATTACTAACAGCTGGTTGTTTAAGCTTCTACTGTGAGTCAGGTATTTGATTTACTCTATTGAAGAGGACCTTGGAATCCTTTCTTTGCCTCACATTCTCCATGCAATCAGCAGATACTCTTGGCTCAACCTTTGAAACACACCCAGCATCCAACCTCTTCAGTACTGCCACTGCTCTAGCGGAACCTTTTCCTTCTGCTTACTGACACAGAGTTGACAAGTCCTTGTTCTACTCCTGGCAACCTGCACTTTTTTCAACTTAACTGCCAGTGATCTTCCTAAAGCTAGATTCCATTGCTCGTCTGCTCAAAGGCTTCCACTGTACTCAGAGTTAAATCTGAAGTCCTCAGGCTGACTGACAAGGCCTCCAGTACCACTGTTCATGTATTGCTTAACCACTCTTCACCTTGTTTCTTGTACTCCAAGCGTTGCAAGCGTTGTGGTGTTCTGGAATTAGATTTGCAAATTCCTGCCTCTTTGCTGTCTCTCTGCCAGGAACATTCGTCCTAGATCCGTATGTGCCTCATCTTTTTTGAGGTCTCTGTTCAAGTGCTCAATCATCTAGTGACCTGGCCTTGCCTAATCATTACAACCTAAACTTGTTTTCCTGTCTTCTCACCCTGCTACTTTACCTTGTCACACTGTATGTTTACTGGTTGTCTGTTTCCATTTAGAAGCAAGCTTGTCAGAAGGTGGGATCTGTCTGTGCCTGTTTAGCTGGTTACTGTTTTTGTAATCAGACACCCGAACAGCGTCTGGTTCATAGTAAGCACTAAAGAAATGTAAAAACCGAATAACCTCTTTAATACGACAGTCTTTCAAAGCAAGCATTACCTGGTTTTATGAATGGTCAGAAAGTTCAAAACTTGCCCAAAGCTCCATAGCGATTACGTGTCAAGTTAGTGTGGATTCAATTCTATTTTTATGATTTACAGTCCCTACTCCTTCCACCATGCAATGCTGCCTGATCCCATCTGAAGATGTGGGATTCCAGGAGGAGTAGCTTATTAGTGTGGAATTAGTACTGAGTACCTGGTCATCCTCAACTTAGTATGACTAGTCTGCATCCCAGGCAGCTTCCAGACATGTGTCACACTGTATTGAAACTGCTTGTTTACAAGTCTCTGGGTGGTATCACTGCTTTAGGGCCTTCTCTCTTTCCCTGAAGAGAATTTTACCTATAATCTATACAGTGCAGCCGTAAGGATGCTTTCCCCAGGTGGAGATCCAAGCAAGACACCCAGAAAAGGCATCACACCCTCATGATGGGATATAATGAATGCCTCTAGACTGGCAGTCAGTATGGGCAGGAGTCTGGGGGACAACCAAGCTGTTTGGGTGACACTGGAAGACAGAATGATGCCACCATGGGCAGAATGGTCTTCTCTAGGGTCCAGTTTAAGTGACTATAGTGGGTAGAAACTTCTACCCAAGCATAAGCTCCATGAGGGGAGGAAACCCACACAGTGCCTACCAGAGGGCTTGGCCCACAATAGGGGTCTCAGAGAAGAGTCAAGGAATAGAATCTTGTTGACTGTGTCACCATGGGCATCCTTACTGCTCACTAATGTTTTCTGAAAACTCAAAGCCAGAAAATACACTCAAATGACTTACCTGGTGGTCACTCTGCCAAGCGGGCAGTAATTTAGGCATGCCATCATCCCTATACTTGGAATGGGAGTAAATCCTCCACTTAGTAAACTGTAGCCCACATTGTTGGCCCAGAACATACAGTTGGGCTTGCTGTATCCTTTATTCTTCCAAAAGGGATTGGACTCAGCCAAGAGGTACAGAGGGAAGCTCCTCTTTTCTTTCTTGACAGGGTCTTACTCTGTCGCCCAGGCTGGAGTACAGCAGAGCAGTCTCAGCTGACTGCACCTTCCACCTCCGAGGTTCAAGTGATTCTCCTGCCTCAGCCTCCCCAGTAGCTGGGAATACAGATCCCCACCACCACGCCTGGCTAGTTTTTGTATTTTTACTAGAAATAGGGTCTTACTATGTTGGCCACTCTGGTCTCAAACTCCTGACCTTAGGTGATCCTCAGCCTCCCAAAGTGTGGCGATTAGAGTCATGAGCCACTGCACCCAGCCAAGCTCCTCTTTTAATAAGCCTTTTCTCATATGCACCCTATGACTCCCCTGATTGCAGCAACTCAAGGAGAACTGACTATCATTGTAACACTGTGAATACTCCACCACTTATATTTTCTGTTGTAGCTTTCTTTTAAGAACAGGACCCAGCTTCATTCTTTTATCTGTACAAGAGGGCTAGAGGTAGACAGCAGGTGCTTAGTGATTTTGCTTTGAACGATGTACAGGACCTCACAGCACAAGGTATTTCATTTAGCCAAGTACTCATTTACTCATGTAAGACTTATTGAGTACCTGCTGTATGTCCAGTGTGGTATTAAGTGCAGGGTGAACAAGCAAGACAAATGGCCTCCCTGTCGTCTTAGGCCATACATGTATGTTGACTCTCCTCGTCTTCCCATCCTGCCCAGGAGATACTGGTGGGCAACTTCATAATTGGCCATTGTCCTTGGGGATGCCTGTGGCCTTCCGGGCTAAATCTTTGGCAATCTAACTAAAGGGTGGAAGTGAGGAAAGGAGGACAGAGTCTGGAAAAACATGACGTATTTGCCTATTTCCTCTCTATGTAGTACCCCAGCATGGACTGGGAGGAACTGGTTCTCAGTAACTGCTACAAAAGCTATTTTTTTTTTTTGTCTTGTTTAGGTTTCAGATAACATAAGAAAAGAGAGCAGAGCATAGAAAATTGATGCCTGAGCATAGAGGTAAAACTATAATAAGAAGTAGTTAAGCATGGCTGGGTGTGGTGGCTCATGCCTGTAACCCCAGCATTTTTTGCAGTGAGCCGTGATTATGCCACTGCACTCCAGTCTGGGTGGCAGAGTGAGACTCTACCCAAAAAAAAGAAGTCATACAAAAAAGATACTTACACAGCATGTTTATAGCACCATGATTTGCAATTGCAAAAATATGAAACCAGCCCAANACAACAAGATAGAAAATCCAGTAAGTAAGAGTCTTGAATCTGATTTGCCACAAGTTAGAAAAAGTAGGGTAAGAGATTGGACAGTCTTAGAAAAGCTGTGACTGGCTAAAAAAGAAAACCCAGCACGAGATGCTAGAAAATGATTCGTTAGCACGAGGACAGCAGATGAGGCTGAAAAATATTCCCTGGCATTGGTCAGACTACTTTAAAATAAGTTAGACCAGTGAAGAATGGTACAATGTAGACTTTTCAGTTTCCTATCAGTCTTCACTTCACTTGAAGAATATTCCTGTTTACTTTTATGTTCTCATTTTCAAAGTAATAATGGCTAAAGAGTGTTATCACAGAAATTATTCCCTTCTGATCCATACAAACAAGATCACTGGGACAGGCTGGGCATGTAGCTCGTGCCTGTCATCCCAGCACTTTGGGAGGCAAAGGTGGGTGGATCACTTGAGGTCAGGAGTTTTGAGACTAGCCTGGCCAACATAGTGAAACCCTGTCTCAACTAAAAATACAAAAATCAGCCAGGTGTGGTAGTGCACGCCTCTCATCCCAGCTACCCGGGAGGCAGGGGAATCGCTTGAACCAGGCAAGGGGAGGTTACAGTGAGCTGTCTACTCCCATCTGGGTGACAGAGCAAGACTCTGTCTCAAAAAGATCATGCGGACAGGAATGTCCCCAGAGTCATGCCTTATACAACTCCAGGGAGCACTGCCACAGGCTGCACAACCACCAAAGTAGGCTTTGAAAAAATTATCTAGAGACACGTTGACTGGAGCATGGTGCCTTTTACCTGTCTTTGCAGGAGCTGGACAGAAGTTTGTATTACAGGCTCGTAGCACCGGAGGTTTCTGATGGAGCAGACAACTTGAGGACGGCCGGCCTTGCTGAACACACTGGACAGATCGGGTCTGGACCCCTCCCCCACAGGTGACGGTGCACTGCAGGAAAGAGAAGAGGAAGAAGACAAACACTCTGCTGAGGTCAGTGACATCAAACAGAAGGAATTCCCATGCTTCGTGACATTACCAAGATGCCTCCTGATGAAACCGATTGGCTGGAGCCAGGCACATAGGCTTAGAGTCCATAGCATCTATCCTAACAAGTAAGAGCCCTTTGATCTGATTAGAAGGGTTTTAGGGAAACACTATCTAGCCCAGGAGCGTGTGTCTCCCAGTTAAGTGACTCATAAAGAAGAGAAGCTCCAGAAATACAGAAGCTTCTCTAAGAATGTAGAAACAAATACAGACACATCTAGGGGAGTTAATCACAGCATTTAAAGAATTCCAGACAATCTGTGCAGTTGCAGTAGTGAAGGAGATAGTTCAAAACTAGGAGAGAAAGAAATGGTCAGACACAGCTCTGGAATTAGCTCGGTGCCCAGCCCAACTCTGAGTTGGTGCTTGTTTTATTTTGAGATGGAGTCTAGCTGTGTTGCCAGGCTGGAGTGCCGCAGCACAATCTCGGCTCACTGCAACCTCCACGTCCCATGTTCAAGCGACTCTCCCGTCTCAGCCTCCTGAGTAGCTGAGACTATAGGCATGCACCACCACGCCCAGCTAATTTTTTTATTTCTAGTAGAGATGGGGTTTCATCATGTTGGTCAGGATGGTCTAGATCTCTTGACCTCATGATCTGCCTGCCTTGGCCTCCCAAAGTGCTGGGATTACAGGTGTGAGCCCCCATGCCCAGCCAAGTTGGTGCTTCTTAGAAGTCAGTGATTTCACTGTGCAATTAAAATTTTAACAACTAGACAAGTAATTGCTTTTTTCCCAGAAGACATTTCATAACAAAAGAATAACCAGGAAAAAAATGTAGCCCTTTACATGGACTTAACAATTCACTGCATTTTCTAAAAATCTACATATGCACTGTAATTTAGTATAGTTTCTGTCTCCTCAATTAAAACATGAGTTCCTTGAGGGCATGTCTTATTATCAAATTATCTGTACCATGAGTTTATAGAAAAAATTTACAAAGGGCAAGACAGTAAATATTTCCGGCTGCACGGGCCTGTGGCCTCTGTCACAAGTACTCCTCATCACCTTTGTAGCACTAAAGCAGCTGCGGTCAATATATAAGTGGATAAGCATGGCTACCTTCCAGTTAAACTTTATTTATAAACACATGGGGGAGCAGATTTGGCCTGCTGACCTCTTACTCTAAATTATCTTCTTAGAGTCAATTACAAAAACAATCCATAGCAGTGTGTGTCACAGCTACCACACTGCCTGCCCAGGGACAATCATGCTAATTTCCTTTCCTCTCATCCATGTTTTGGTTTCCAGATCCTCCTGAAGAGATACGTACACAGTATATATACCTCTGCCCGGCCCCTGTGATGAATGGTGAGGTGGGCAGCACCCGAGTCCTCTGAAGAGCTGTGTGACAACATCTGTTGGTTGGAATGCTGGAAGGACCACAACACAGCTTTGGGTTCCTGAAGACATAATGCCCTCTCAGACTTAGCATCACACACCAGTCCTAGCCAAAGATTCACCCAAGACTTCTGAAAGGAAGGGTGCCTCTAGCATCTGGTAAGTTTAAAAGCTGAGTGTCCTTGGCTGAATTGCCTGACATTCTGAGCGTCAAGGACCATACTACCCAGGAATAGGAAACGCATGTAAAGTACTTAGCACCATGCATAGTAATGGCTTGACAAATATTAGCTCTTACATTATTCAGAAACACGATGTAGGAACCAAATGAGTAAAGGCTGTGAGCAGCATTTCTAAAACAAACACTTGAGAGGCAGTTTCAATAGCAGCAATGACCAACATCATCAGGGTATGACTGACCTGGGGCTAAGTGTTTTACATACATTTTCTGATGAATGACAACAAATCACCTTTGCCAGATATTAATTTTCTAGAAATGAAAACAGGTTTGCAGACCGCCCAGGACCACAGGAGCAGAGTTGGCCAAAGAACGAAACCCATTCTATCTTCAAAACCTGAGCCCTTACTTGTATGACCATAAACTGACTCAGAGCAACTGTTTGCTGCATGCCTCATTTTCTCACATCTCATTTGCATACAAACCTCCTAAATCTGCCCGGACCCACCTGCTGCCATGGTGATGAATACCATCCAGCTACCGCGTTGTACACTGGATGGGCTGGACAAGCCCTTCGGTGGCAGGTCTCTTCGAAGTCCAGGGTTGGTTTCTTGATATGACGGCATCTTCGCTCTGGGAACGTGATCAGCTTTCCCTGGAAGCCCTTCTCGCTGCACTTCATCTCCCTCTTCCTCACACCCAAACCACATGATGCAGAACACTAGGAGCCAAGACAGGATGTGGAAAAGTGCAGGGCCCCATGGTCAAATCTTCTGAGCAGATGCAGTTTGACATAAGGTTGCACCATCCCCATGAAATTCGATGGATGGGATGACATCAGGTCAACCACACTCACTCAACCATCTTAAAAAGACACAGCAGCCAAGTACCTCATGCTATACATACGGAAAGCAAAGGTCAGAGAGCTCAAGTGCCTTTCCCAAAATCAGAGATCATGAGCATCGTAAAACAAAAAGGGACTTTGAGATGCCACATGGGTGTGAGATAGAGTCCAAGAGAAAGACAAGATGGGCAGAAGGATTTCCAGATTGAGGGTTACAGACCTCCAGGTCTACCTAAGGCCTGAGACGTTTTAGGAATCTGAGTCGAGGAGGGTAAGGGCCAGATAAAAAGATTAAGAGCTCAATGGGAAGAACCACTGTACAGCAAATAATTGCCCTTCATGTTCACCCAACCTCTTGCACAGAGGACCTAACATGATGAGGGTTACAAATATCCTTTTAGGCTGGGTGCAGCGGCTCAGGCCTGTAATCAGGCCATTTTGGGAGCCTGAGGTAGGCAGATCACTTGAGCTGAGAAGTTTGACAACAGCCTGGGCAACATGATGAAACCACATCTCTACAAAAACTACAAAAATTAGCCAGGTACAGTGATTCATGCCTCTAGTCTGAGGTAGGAGATCACCGGAGTCGGGGAGGTGGAGGCTGCAGTGAGCTGACATTGTGCCACTGGACTCTAGGGCAACAGGGCAAGACCCTGTCTCAGGAATAAATAATCTGACAATGGTTCTTCCTGAAGTCTGGCTTGGGTCAACCTTGAGCTCCCCACAAAAGAAGACTTTATCAAGGCACTTAGCATACCTTATCCATATTTCTCTGTGTGTGCTTTACAAAGTCTTGCTCCCCCACAGCCAGGCATAGGCCTGATCAGTGTAGGAGGTTAGCAATGTTGGGTGAAGCACTCAGGAGAGCAGAAATGACAATTAGCAGGCATTGGGTATAAATATGTGCAAGAGGAAGGAGTTTAGTGAGCCTAGCTGCTAGCAAGTGAGGTGAGCATCTCAGAAAACCTCCAGCAGTGACTTCTAAACCATACCTCACTCCACGAAGAAGCGACCCACTGTAGCCGGTTGTTCTTGGGGCATCGTCCGAGCACGCAGCCCTCCTGCAGCTCAGGTCTGGGGAGGCTGGTACACTGGCTCTCAGGGGGGGCCTCTGAGGCAGGGCCCTTGCACAGGAGTTCACGCTTCCTCACTCCTCGTCCACAGGTCTTGGAACACTTGAGAAGAAAAAAAAATCAAAGTTCCATTTGCATTCCCATTAGGTTTCAGTTGCCACGTTTAAAAAAAAAAAAAAAAGAGAAGCTATACTAAATATGTGAAATGTGGGGTAAACTCCATGAACTAAAGCTCTTTTTATTATGTCTACTTAACCAGCCGCATTTCAATTTCCCTTTATCCATACCCACCATATATATTTGGCTAAAACAATTATTTGAATTCTTTTTGTAAATTATATTCCTAACTGGAAAAACGAGACTAGACTCAACACCATATTCTATTTAGATTTACCCTGTGCTATAAATGAATACATTCTCTCATTTGAAAGAACCCCTAAACAAGCTTAATAATATTCTTTCTCCCTCCTTGACCCTTTATTCCCCTAACACAGAGGTCTCCGATTTTTTTGGCACCAGGGACGGCTTTTACAGAACACTGTATTTCCACGGATGGGCAGGGCGAGGTGGTGCCTCTGGGATAAAACTGTTCACATATATGGTGTGTTAGGTGGTGCAACCTTATGTATTTATTGGGTATAAATATGTGCAACAGGAAGGAGTATTGTGAGGTTTTTCACATATTTATACCCAATAAATACATAAGGTTGCACCATCCCCATGAAATTAGACGGATGGGATGACATAAGGTCATCAGATCATCAGACATTAGATTCTCATAAGGAACACGCCTCCCCGATCCCTCACCCGTACAGTTCACAAGAAGGTTCAAGCTCCTCTGAAAATCTAATGCTGCCACAGATTTGACAGAAGGCAGAGCTAAGGCTGCAATGCTTCCCTGCCCTGCTGCTGGGCAGCACAGCAGCGCAGTTCCTTCTAGGCAACAAACAGGCACTTGTTCATGGCCTGGGGACCCCTGTACGAACAGATATGTCCTAACTTTTTTTTAAAAAAGCCTTACTCCAACCCCTGGTAGGGGATATGATATTGATTTCAGTATATTGCTGAAATCAATCAGAAAGCAGCACCTTCCAGGATCTAATATACCATAAAGGAAAACACAGCAGAACTGTCATCAGTGGTTGCTACCTGGCGTCATAGTTCAGGTGGTAAAACTCTTGCCCTTTTTTCATTGTTCCCTAAAATTGGTTTGCCAGCCATGATTTAGCAGCATTTGTGCTATCACATACAAGTCAGGGTGTAGGGCAGGACTTCTTCCGTTCAGCACCACTGACATTTTGGATGAGATGGTTCTTTGTGGTAAGGAGCTGTGTACGCCATTCACCTCTACCCACTAGATGCCAGTAACACTCATCTCCCCCCGGGCTGTGACAATCAAAAATGTCCCCTGGTAGGCAAACCCACCCACAGTTGAGAACCTTTGCTTTAGACAGAATTCTGAGTTGTGAATGACGGGTAGTTCTATGACTCTTCTAACTTTAAAATTTTATGGCTTTCACTGAGAATTTGTCAACATAGCCAATTTTATGCCCTGCTTTTCTCTGTATTCTTCTAACTTCACCTCTTTCCCATTGAAGTAAGAGTTAAAATCTCTCTACTATGCTTCACTCTGTGTGTGTTTTCCATTTGCTTTGCCGAATTCAGTAGCCAGGTCTCTATGCCAAACTTCTGACACCAGAATCCTTTCTAGCTATGCTCACGACTCTGCCCTCAATGGCCCCCATACTCTAATTTCTAAGGAGGATTTGAAGCTCTGGGATAGGGGTGCTGAAACTTCAGATTTCCTAAGATTCCCTAAAGAACATTAATTAAAATGCTGATTCCCATGAAGATGTAAACGGCCGACAGCCCCTTGGAGAGCAAAGACACCTGTACTTTTGCCTTCATGGGGAACAACACCAACAACTCAAGTTTTTTCCTGTTACCTGAGACCAGGGTCCAAGGCTCCATTCTGGAGGGCAGGCGTGACTGTTGCAGGCTTGGACCTGAGTGGGTGTGCTCACTGGACAGAGAGAATGCAACACTGCTTCCTCCTTTTGGAAGGGCTTCTTTTGCACACACTGGATCTTTCGGCTCTGCTGGCCCCCAGCACAGGACTTGCTGCATGTACTCCATTCACCTGGCATCCAGCTTTCAGAGCAAAACAAATATTTCCAATGAAGCCACACTTTGTGTAATAACTTCCAAAGCAGTTACTGTGAAAGGTGAACCACCTATGGAAGCCTTAGATTGATTTCAGAACCAATAAGGATAATTTGTACACATTGTTCTTTGATGGATGCAGAGGCTTATACTAAAGTGATCCAGATATCAGGAATCAGATTTAATCATCCCATAGTTCTACAGAAAAAATGCATTCCTGCCTCTGCATGGGAAGAAATTCACGTCACTTAAAAATCTGCATAATTCATGGAGTCAAATTTGTTGGGATTTTCACTATGTGTCAGGGACTCTCCTAAGCATGAGATTGGAAAACTTAGGGCGGCAGCACTAAGGAGCCCTGTAACACAGTAGAGAGCTGGGTATGTGAACAAATAAAGACAGTATTTTCTGGTAAGTGCTGCAATGGAAGTCAACACAAAATACAATGATGAGGCTAATGGAAGAGGGGTTCATTTAGAGAAGGTCTCACAGGGATATTTTTAAGTGGGCACTTCCCCAAATTTCTTTTCTGATTACACCTAAATTTACTGATGACTTACATACCTACCCTTATATTCTTTAAAATTTGCCAGTTTTTCTTTCTTTCTTTCTTTTTTTTTTTTTTTTTTCCCAGATGCAGTCTTGCTCTGTCACCCAGGCTGGAGTGCAGTGGCTCAATCTTGGGTCACTGCAACCTCCACCTCCCAGGTTTAAGTGATTCTCCTGCTTCTGCCTCCCAAGTAGCTGGAACTACAGGCATGCACACTGCCATGCCTGGCTAATTTTTCTGTTTTTACTTCCTGTTGATTTGACTAATTTTTGCATTTTTAATAGAGATGGGGTTTCACCATAGTGGCCAAGCTGGTCTCGAACTCCTGACCTCAGGTGATCCACCCACCTTGGCCTCCCAACATGTTGGGATTACAGGAGTGAGGCACAGTGCCAGGCCAGACCAGTTTTTTTTAATAGCTATCTGAGACTTGGTATATATGGTTATCAATTAAAACTATTAACCTCTTCAATAACTACTTTTGATTAATTGAAGTTCTATGATTTAAAGACCTAGCATTAAAAAGATGCACCACAGATGACTGTTACCCCTTTTCCGTCACAGCCCCAACGTCTAAAACTGATCTCGGATTATAAAGATTCCAAGTATCATTTTAAGTAAAGAGACATCAATAAGACCACATGTATTTTTTGCTATTTTTTTCCTCTAGTTTCCCACAGAGGCCAGATGTGTGAAATTACGTCCAGAGAATTTAGCATGAGTACCAGAATTATATGTGTCCTAAAACAATCATCACAATCCCCTACAATCCTATTCAATTAAGGATATCAAATACAATACTCATATTTGTACAATTATTTGTATCCTAAAATAAGATGTAAAGAAAACATATATAACACATTGTATATAATCATATATACAACACATTATATAATTATTAGCTTCAACATTGGCATATAAAATGGCGTTTTTGTCTACCAAATTCAAGTGTCCTCCCTTTTTGTGACAACTATGATGAGTTTGTAACAGTGCTAACAAGGACATAACAAATAGATTATTTTTAAATTTTTTTTCTTGCTCTGTTGCCCATGCTGGACTGCAGTGACCTACTGCAACTTTTGCCTCCTGGTTCAAGTGATTCTCATCTCAGCCTCCCAAGTAGCTGGGACTGTAGAAACCTGCCACCACACCTGGCTTACTGTTATTATTTTTTGTAGAGATGGGGTTTTACCATGTTGGCCAGGCTGGTTGCAAACTCCTGACCTCAAGTGATTTGGCCGTCTCAGCCTCCTAAAGTGCTGGGATTACAGGCGTGAGCCATTGTGCCTGGCCCAAATAGACTTTATGTAACCTACCTCTGAGCTTCAGGCTAACTCTCCATCTAACCTCGCCCTCATCCAACCCTAACTTAGAGCCCAGATACCTTCACTATCTTATCTCTTACTGCTTTTTTAAAATATGTAACACTTCACTAGCAGATGCTACTGCCTGTCAATTATTTCTCTACACAGTCATCTCTTCCATTTGATTTCGGGTTCACTGATGGCGGGAACTTCACATTACTCATCTCTGTCCCACAGTTCAGAGCTCAGGGCCTGGCATAGAGTAACTGCACTATGACATGGTTGCTACATGAGAAAATAAAGGAATTAGCACTGATAAATTCCTTTATCTATATAGCTCTAAGAGTCTAAACCCTTCTTTCTCTTATTATCTTTGCGTAAGAATGGTCCTCGAATAGACCCATATTCCAACAGAAAATACTAGAAAATAAATAATAGGGAGGGAGCAGATCTTAGCCGTGTTACCCCTGCCACTCTTCAGGGCCATTACAAGGGGCTGTTCTGCTTTCAGATAGCCAGTAAATGTGTTTCTGCATTCCTACATGTTAGTCCTCAAGGAAATTTTAGGAGTTGGCCATGACCTGGGCTCTCTCCCTTTCCATGGAAGTACATGTGAATGGGGTTGCCTGGAATAGCCAATGAGAAGAAAGCTCAAAATCAGAAAATGTCAGCTTGCTATTCAAGCACATTGATTATTCCCACATGGATGTAAACACTACAAAGGTTCCACAAGGTTCAGTCGCACTGTTGGGTTCATATCTAAGAGCTGCTGGAATAATTCTTAGAGACGTATTTCTTAGAAAAAGAGGAAAATCCATGGAGCCCCTCTCCCCCAGGTTTATTTCTCCTCTTAGTGTTCACGATACAGTTCCACAGCCTGAGAAAAAAACTGGGTTGAAAGTTGGGCATACAGGATTGCTGAAGAGCTGAAACCCCAAGCGATTATGACAAATACACTATTATTTATGAGAAAATCTGTGTGTATGTGTGTGTGTGTGTATAAAGATTGTGTAATATGATCGCATCACCACAAACCAAACACTACTTATTAAGATGATCTAAAGCATTGGTGAATGCAACACTGCTTTAGAAGAAACTCTGTCCATTCTATATAAATATATTTGGCAGAAGACAAAGCACATAAAAGATACTCCATTTAACTGGGAAGATTACTTAAAATTAGTCTTCAAACAATAGCGTGGCTAAAGTCAATCCAGGAACAACCTCACTGCACTTCTCAAAGGCTACCATCATCAGCGGTAGAGTTACCACTTGGCCTATACCTCATTCTTTTTATTTTGTGTCTTGCTACTGTGTAATTCTGCATTTGGGGTTTCACAGTCTGCATAGTATTAGGATTTTTTAATTCTTGGACCATTTACATAAAAGTTAAGCATACAACCACATGCAAATTGAACTAATTTAGGATTCTGTGTTATTTAAATATCTGTCTGATTCAGTTCAGAAAAGAGGAATCTCCATGTAAAGGTTTAAAAAAAAAAAAAAAAAAGCACCTTCAGTCTGGCACGGCCGCTCACGCCTGTAACCCCAGAATTTGAGATGCTGAGACAGACAGATCACTTGAGGTCAGGAGTTTGAGACCAGCCTGACCACTCCGGCCAATATAGCTAAACCGTGTCTCTACTAAAAATACAAAAATTAACCAGGTATGATGGCATGCACCTGTAATCCCATCTATTCAGGTGGCTGAGACACAAGAATTGCTTGAACCCAGTATGTAGAAGTTGTAGTGAGCTGCTATGAGGCCACTGCACTCCAGCCTGGGTGACAGAGTGAGACTACAACCCCATACCCACTCCCCCTCCTCCAGAAAAGATGCCTTCATATACCAAGTAAGCTTGCTTTTGAATAACCAGTAAATTTCTTCCTGGCTATCAAGCCAAAGTCAAGTGAGTACCAAAAGTAAGTCTGTGTTTTTCAACTCATATATTTAAACATCAACCATCTTCTTTCTTTTTAAAAATTTTTTGAGAGACAAGGTCGCATTCTCATACCCAGGCTAATATATAACTGGCACAATCATGGCTCACTGTAGCCTGGAACTCCTGGGTTCAAGTGATCCTCCCTCTTCAGCCTCCCAAATAGCTGGGACCACACCCATGCCACCACGCCTAGCTCATCTTCTATTACTTTTTTAAGTATTGCATCTACCTTTGACCCACTTTCCAATCGCAGTATTGACACTGGGCTTTTATCATCTTATAACAACCATGAAGGCGTACAACTACAAAAGTCAAAAAGACATTTCGACATGACTTACTAAGCCGGGCAGGAGAAAGCGTTGCATATTTTGGGTTCAGTTACTGGCTTGGTTCTTGCATTGCAGAATGAGGAATTGACTTGAGTATTTTGATCTCGCAAGCAAATGGCCTTTACATTTATGTAACCTGGTAAGAAATCAGAAGTGACAAAGTGAAAACTACAGATTATCATTTCAGTTTGGTTTCTAAGTTTAGCTTCTGATTTACCAGCATTGTGATGTTTTATTTCAGACATGGAATCCAAGTATTTTGTGAAAGCACCTCCTTTTGATGAAATCTGCCACTAATTTGAATTCCATTCCACTCTCTGAGATAATATAGTTCATATTTTAATAATTTTAGCATGTAGATTATTGGTTTTCAAGACTGACATGGACACTGGAACCATAAAGTGATAAATACAATCTTTTGAAAACAGAATGACTGTAAAGGGAAACATCCCAAGCAAACTTTATTATCAGATGGATGATGATGTTCAAAGAAAAACCATCAGTGAGTTATATGTGGAAACCCTAAGATTCAGCCTTACCATGACACATCTCATACTTCCTTAAGAGTACAGGACACAGGGCCGGGCGCGGTGGCTCAAGCCTGTAATCCCAGCACTTTGGGAGGCCGAGGTGGGTGGATCACGAGGTCAGGAGATCGAGACCATCCTGGTCAACATGGTGAAACCCCGTCTCTACTAAAACTACAAAAAATTAGCTGGGCATGGTGGCGCGTGCCTGTAATCCTAGCTACTCAGGAGGCTGAGG